CCCCCCCCCGCCTCCCTGACAGGCTCCAGGCCAAGCACGCGTCCGAAGTGGCGCTCGCCGAGGAGATCCGCTCCTTCCTGAAGCGCCGCTCGGAGATCGAGCTTCAGTACTCCAACGACCTGAGCCGCCTGGCCAACCAGGCGCTCGAGCTTCGGCGCCGGGCCACTGGCTTCGACATTGATCGGTACGCATGTCCCCCCCCTCTCCGGTGCTACGTTTGTAGCCCCCCCCCCCCCCCCACGCCGCTCTGCCATTGACTCCTCGCTCTCTCGCTCTCTCCCTCTCTCCCTCCCTCCCCTACCCCCTGGCCCAGCCCTTCGTCGGTGGCCTTCCTCGAGCTCCTGGAGCATGAGAAGAACTCGGCCCGTCGCCGGGGCCTGTTTGCGGAGAACCTGTCATCTGCCGCCTCGACCAGCGGCTCCGCCGGGGCCTCTGTCACCGGGGACGATGGGGTCAGCAGCGTCCTTGTGGTGCAGCCGGTCGGCGGTCTCAAGTCCCAGATCGACGCGCACAAGCGCCGCTGGGCACGCGGTAGCGAGTGGCTCCAGCGTCACCATGTCACCCTGCAGAACCTCTGCAGCGACGTGTCCAGCGTGCGGCCCGGCCTCCCCTCCCCCAGACGCCGTTCATTGTCCTCCCTTTGGCTCCGCTGTCTAACCCCTCCGGCTGTTTCCGGCGCATCGGCCCCCTCCCCCGCCCCCCTCCCCCGCCCCCCTCCCCCGCCCCCCCCATAGTCCAAGGCCAACTACGAGAACCTCGTCCGCACGGCCAGCCGCGTGACGCAGAAGTACAACGACGAACTGGCGTCCAATGCCTCCAGCGAGGAGTCCACCTCGGCCGCGGCAGCCATGTTCCGGCGGATCAGCGGCGTGGGCGACGTCAAGCGCCGGCTGGACACCAGCCGCCGGCGCCAGCGCACCGCCCGCACCGAGGCCCAAACCGCACGCAATGACTATGTCCTGGCCACGCGCGGCCTGGCCCGGGCCCAAAGCGTCTTCGACACCAATGCCCTGGGGCTGATCATGCAGGCCATCGACGGGCCCTTCTTCGAGCAGCTGTCCCAGCACCTGTGCTCCTATGCGGAGCTTCAGCTGCTCAACTGCCGCGAGACCACCTCCTACATGGAGGGCTTCCTGCAGACGGCCCAGTATGCGGCCAGCCGCCCGGTCGATCGGGACCTCTTCCTTGGCGAGTGTGTGCCCATCTTCCCGGTGGCCATGCCGGCGGCGGCGGCCGTCGAGCAGGCCATCACCGCCGCCGGCGGCGACCCCACCCTGGTCAGCGTCAGCGCCTGGTTCGATGAGGGGGTCGAGCGGGCGGTCGGCGGCCCGTCCCCGGCCGCGGTGGCCCTCGGCCGGTTGGAGTTCGCGCAGGCCGATTCCGAAGCGCGTGCCGGGAGCTCCGGCCCCGGCTCGGCGGCCGCCACCGGCGAGGGCACGCTCCTGGATGTGTCCACTTCCGGCGACCTGGAGCGGCTGTTCTTCGACGATCTGAGCCGCGTGGGCCTGTCCCGCCGGGCGGCCGAGGTCGAGGGGCACCTGAGCCGTGTGACGGTGGATCTGGAAAAGCGCCGCAAGGAGTTCGACGCGGTGCAGTCGCTGGCGTCGGCCTACCGGGCCACGCCGCAATTCGGCAGCACCCAGGAAACCGGCGCCGAGGCCGAGCAGGCCGCCCTGTCGCTGGCCCTGCTGGAGGTCGAGTCGGCTCCCTGGCGCACGGCTCTGCAGCTGCTGCATGGGGCTGGCATTGTGGCCGATGCCGGGGCCATGGCCGATGCCGGGGCCGGGGCCGGGGCCGGTGTCCCCTCCCTCGGTGGCGGCAGCGGCATCACGGTGTCCGGCGGCCCGACCGGCTTCGGCAGCGGGCCGAACAGCTCGGTCGGCCGGCCGGCCGGGGCCCCGGGCCCCGGGGCCGCCTCCGCCCGGCCGCCGCAAGTGCGCGTTCTCTACACGTACGAGGCGCGCGCGGCCGACGAACTCTCCGCCAATGAGGGCGACCTGCTGACCGTGGCGTCGGATGATGACCCGACCGATGCCGACTGGATCCGCGTGCTGCCGGCCGGCGCCGGGCCCGGCACCCCGTCGGTGGTCTTCCCCCGCTCGTATGTGGAGCCGGCGCCGGCCGGCTCGCCCTCGGCCGGTGGCATCTCCTCCTCGGCCTCCACATACAGCCTGTCCGGGCAGCAGGGCTCGTTGGACTTCTCCGGGCATCCGCTGGGCCTGTGCCAGCGCGTGCGCGCGGTCCACTCCTACTCGGCGCAGGATGACACGGAGCTGACCCTGGCCCCGGGGGATGTCATTGAAATCATCAGCCGGCCGGACCCGGACTGGTGGTATGGCCTGTGCGTGTTCCCCTCTCCGCGGTGCTCGCTCGCTCGCTCTTTCTTTTTTTTTTTCTTTCCTCCTTTGTGCCCATACGGCTCATCGCTCGCCATGAGACGGGCACCGTCGCCGCCTCCGCCTCCGTCTCTCGCCCTTTTGGATTGGCATTCTGACCCCCGCCCCCTCCCCTCCCTCCCTCTCTCTCTCTCCCCCCGGCAGTCACACCCGCACTTCCAAGGAGGGCTACTTCTCGGTGACCATCGTCGAGGCGGTTTCCCTGTCGGGTGGCGTGCTGGAGAGTCCGGTCGGTGCCACCGACGGCAGCAGCGGCAGCGGCAGCAGCAGCTCCGCTTCCATGGCTTCACTGATGACGCAGCCCTCCTCCGGGGCGGTGTCGCGCTCGGCGTCCACCTCCTCCAGCGGGGTGGGAGCCGGTGGCGAGGGCGACGTTGTCCAGGCCATCTACCCCTACTCGGCCGCTGTGGCCGGGGAGCTGAGCTTCGCCAAGTACGACATGATCACCGTCACCAGCCGCGACACCGGCGACGAGAGCTGGTGGGAGGGGCGCCTGGCCGATGGGTCGGTCGGGCAGTTCCCCTGCGCATATGTCCGCGTGCCGAAGGCCAGCCGCCGGTCCTCCTCGCGCCCGGTGTCCACCATGTCCATGAACTTCACACCTCCCGCCTCGGGGCCGCCCTCGGTGACGTCCTCTCGATCGGCGTCGTCCTCGGCCGCGGCCGCGGCGCCCGCCGGCAAGACCGGTACGTCGCCCGTGGCCCTTCCTTCCTCGTGTTTCCCCCTCCTCCCTCCTGCGGGGGTCTCCCCCCTCCCGCCCTTCGCTCCCTCGCTGACATTACTAACGGCTGGCATGCCCCATGCCTCTGTCCCCCCCCCCCCTCCTCCCGGCGGCTCCTCCTCCTTCTCCCTCCCTCTCTCTCTCTCCCCCTCTTTGTTGGCCTGGGCCTTGCGCTCGCGCATGTCCAGCCACAGTCCAGTTCGACTACGAGGCTCGCGAGGCCGGCGAGCTGTCGGTTGCCGCCGGCAGCGTGGTCACCCTCATCCCCGACGGCATGGGCCCCGACCCGTCGATCATGTCCGACGAGAATTGGACCTACGTGCGCGACTCCGCCGGCCGGACCGGGCTCATCCCCACCGCTTGGATCTGAGCGTGTGCACGCATGCCTTTCTCTTTTGCCACATCCTCCCTCTCCCCTTTGCCTTCTTCTTCTCCCCCCCCCCCCTCCTCCTCACCCCTGGCCGAGGTCAGCATGTGTCCAACAGAATATACCTACCCGCTCGCTGTGGCTCTTCCCATGGCCTTCCTCCTTGTTCCTCCCTCCCCTGGCCGGCCTCTCTGCTGCTCCCACCCCGAGGCCGGTGGTCGGGCAGCGATGAGGCTTGTCAGCGCATGCACCCGGCAAAACAGGTCCAGGGTTGTGGTTGGATTGTTGGCGGGCATTTTCCAGCCCGGGCGGCTCTCCCCACCAGGGGGGGAACATCACTGGCTCGCGAGGCCCACATGGCAAACGCCCGTGGCAAATTCGCCGAGGGCCGGCGAGGCGGTGCGCGCGGCCCGCGTCATGCGCGCCATCCACCACGCCTGTGCCGGCTGCACCGAGTCGGTGGGGCTCTTGACCTCCACCAACAGCAGATGGGGCCGCTGCGCCGGGGGCACAGCCGGTGCTTGGCCCGGTTGCAGAGCCACATCCGCCGCCGGGAAGGGCACATCCAATGGCAGGCGCCAAAGCATCAAGTCCGGCAGGCCGGACCCCACCTCGGCCCAGTGGAAGGCCTGGGCCCGGAGGGCATCCGCCAGCACGGCGGCCACCGCGCTGACCGGGGGAGCACGTGCCCCGGCAGGCGGCACCAGGCCGCCCGGCAAATGGTCCGCGGGCCAGAAAAGCCGCGGGGAGGCCAGCGCCGCCAGGGTCCGCGCCGCGGCCAGCGTTTCGACCCCCAGGCCGCGCAGGGCCGGCGGTTGGCGCCACGCCCCGGGGGTGGCATCCGGCGGATTCGAGGCCGGCACTTGGCCGCGCAGGGGAACAGCCGGCCAGTGGCCGAAGTGCCGGTCGCTGGCGAAGCGCTGCCCCTCAACCGTTTGGGGAGCCCCGCCGGTGAGATTCTGCGCCAGGTAGGGGGCATTGATGTGGTGACGGAGACACGCCTGGTCGAAAAGATGCAAGGCGTGGCCCTGTTCGACGGCCTGGGCCACGGGTCGAGGTCAGTGGCAGGGTCCCTTCCCCGTGCGCATGGCAGGGGCATCGTGCGAGGAAAGAGGGACCAAAGGGGGGGAGGGGGGGGGGGAAGACTGGCAACGCACCGCGACCAGGGCCTCGATGGCTGCGAAGTGCATGTGGTAGAAGATGCCCGGGCCAGCACGAAGGCCCGCCGGCAGGCCTTGGTACGGGTGGCGCCAGGCCGAGGCGCCCCCCTCTGCAGGGAGGTGGCGGTCATGGGGAAGATGGCAGAAGGAAAGGCAAGTCAGACCCACGAGCCGGCCCAGCAGGCACAAGCACCACACTGGCCCCGAGCGAGAGGGGGGGGGGGGGATAGGAAAGCCGAGGGGCGGCCGCACCATCTTTATCACAGCTCGGTGCCAGGACCGAGTCGTAGGCCAGCACCAGGAAGAGCGTCCGCCAGGGCGACGCCTCGGCGTGGCACCCGTGCCACCCTCCGCGCAGGCGATACACATCCAGTGTGGCCTGCTCTACCGAGGTGCCATGGCGATGCGAGGGGGAAATCCACAGGGGGATGGGCCGGCGACCGGTGCGCTGGTGGATGACTGGTGCGGTGGACGGTCAGCGCAGGGCGGCGGCGGCGGCGGCAGCCGTTGCACCGAAGGAGGGGGTGGCAGAAAAAGGCCCGGTGTGAGTCAGCATCAGCGACGCACCCTTGCGAAGCTCGATGCGGTCATAGAAAAGGGCCTGGTTAACGATGTGCGTGTCGGCCTCCATGTCGGCATCCGTGTCGGTGGCCGAGCACATGGTGATGCAGCCCGATCGCAAGAGCCGAGACAGATGGTGGAAGAGCGCCCGCCGGGGCCCGGCCAAGGTTAGCGGGTCCCGCAGGCCTGTGCATCGGCCACGCCCCCCGCAGCGAAGGCGACAAGATTGCCAAGGTCAGGCACCGCCCGGGGCAGCGGGAGAAGAGGACACATGCCCCCCCCCCCCCCCCCCCCCCCCCGAACTCCAGTCACCTTGTGCCCCCTTGGCCCCTCTTCTGGCCGGCTCGAACT